AACTCGTTGAATTTCAGAAATACCAATTGAATCAAATTCAACCTTGAAATCAAGGTCACTTTTGTGGAGAGCTTTGAATGCTCGTATTGTTATCACCATAATAAAGCAAGCAGCGTTCGAAACCGAAAATTTCCGTTATCTCAGTGAATAAACAAAACAGAATTGCACGATCACACAAGCCGGGGTTTTCGATATCAAATCTTGCCCAATGCTTTAACGTTAACAAAAGCACAATTTACAGGATAATTCATGGGAAAACAACAACCAGAACAGCTTGTGTAGGCCGTAAATCGAGTGCATCCAAACAGGAGGACGACCTCATTCATATTACTCTGAAACAAATTGCAGAAAATTGTTGTCGTTTATCCAACGATAAGATCTTCCCCGCCAGTCATACTTCCTTCTGCAAAGAAGAATGAAAAAATCAAAACGCATCAGGTTTCAGCTGAAGTCAAACCTTTATTGAACGCGCAGGAAAAGCAGGTGCGTATTGATTTTGTCCGAGAATTTAAATCTCAACGTGCGGCATTTTGATGATCGGTTTATTTTGCCGACGAGTGCATGGTGTGCGATGAGCCCTGGAAGGCTCACAAAATAGTAATTTGTTGTGAGAATTTCCCAAAAGAACCTAGTACATCAAATGAAAACGTTTCTCACCCGTCGAGATTACTCATCTTGGCATGGATAAAACGTGGTCAGCCTTGTCGGTGGACATCAGTCAAAGGCACCATGAACAGTAGGAAATTCGCATCCGTAATTACGAAAATGTTTCCAGAATTTCATGAAAACAAATCTTCTGGAAAAGTTATCCTTTTCCAGGATAACGCTCCGTGTCATGTTATACTGGAGTTTAGCAAATTTATTTAGTTAAGGACTCCGGTTCACTTATTATTTGCTTTCAGATTCAGAAAAGTTACGTGACTCTAAAGTCCAGCTCATACAACTTTCCCTAATTTCCTCGATCTCAACATGGTTTAAAATCTGTTTTCTGTTTTGAAGAGAGAGGTCAATGAGCTATCTCTAAATTATACTTTGGGGGCATAAATGCGATACGTAATACAGCACAAAATGGAAAATGACTTCATAAAAATGCTGGTGGGTTCGATGCCGAAGAGACTTGAAAAACACCTGAAGAACAAAAGCAGACCAATCGACTATTAGTGTGCGAAAACTTTACATGAATGAATGTTAATTTGTGGAAAATAAAAACTCCTTCATTCTCTTTAGTTAGTTCTTAACTCATCATGGTCTAGGTCAACGACTACTGACAAAGTGGGAGTATCCGCTACATTATGAACCATTCCATCTGCTGAGTACAAACGAATCAGGAAAATCACGTCTATAAAGACTCACCAAGGCTTGTTCATTACTATTTGGAAAACTAATTTACTTCAGTATAAATGCTGTTGCCTATGCGAACCGACAAGCGTCCCACGCGGACCCGTTTCCTCAGTTTTGATTAAACTTTACTCACGAGAATCAATAAGGCCTTGCTCCGCTCCAACTAGACACAGCATATCAGTAATAGTGTCCACTTATACTAATGCTTTTATCATTCAAATGTCTTAACTTTCTGAATTTCAGTCAGGGCCATTTGATCATCGGTTATAAGATAACAAAACTTCATTAGAAGAAAATATGAGAGCTGAGTGATAAAAAATGACTCTTAAGAATGACCAAAATGTTATACTTTCATTTTGTTAACACCCCTTTTGTCTGCTTGTATTTGCAACGTCTTCAGCCGGTTGTTTTGTCATAAACGTTTAATGTGGCCTTTATTCAAATAATGAAACCAGAGAATTGAGAACACTGCATGGAAATAGAACGTTCTGAGTAAATGCCCATCAACGGTTGCTATCAAAGTGGAAACGTGTCGGTGAACTCTGAATGTATGGTCGTGAAACACGAGTTCAAAGATTACATGTACTGAGTCGGACATCACTCTGTTATTCGATCGCGATAAGAAACTACTATTGTACACGCCGGTCTTCATTCGGAACCAACCGGTTCAACGGATTTGATTTTCGTTAAGCGGGCAGATGGTAAGATTGAATGAGTTTGATCACTTCTACCACTAGAAGCAGAACATTCAAAATGCGACTACTCATAAAACAACCAACAATTACGGTTAGTGCATCATTCTTTCTTTCGAAGATCATTCAAAAAACTGTATTTCTGTGGAAATGTAAAATCGTTCCACCATGAAAACTATTTAACATCTAACGCAAATGCTAGCTCAAACACAATGATATGGCTATAAGCATGGTACATTGGCGATTCATTTGTGTGTACGCGGATCGCTATATGTTGATGGCTTTGATTCAGGTGGGGCCTATTTGCACCAAACATTGTTCGATCCGAATAAAAGCTTTTGGTTACGTTCTATTTCTTGTGTTTATATTGGAGAATTCCTTTCTTTCTGGTTAAATTGACAAACCAAAGCCTAATGTGCGATCTCAGCGTGGTTTGCAGTTTCTGCTTTGCCGTGCAAATCACCCCTACATGCGATGTGATATTGAGGCTTTTCTAGCAACAACATGCGTGGCCTACAGAAAGTTCCGGTGCATTTTTCATCAACTGATTGCTTAGACTCATACTATAATCGTCTTCCCAATCTATTGCATTGCATTCATTCAGGTAATTATTCGCCGAAAGTATTCTCGGAATAAAATGTAATAAGTTTTCTTTATGTTGTCGAAACAAAACATCTGGAATTGGTTCACACTTTACGATTTGTCACATTTTTTACGCAATCCCTAAAGCTCTACAGTGAATCTAATGAAATATAACGAAAAGTGGGATCAGGAAATTCCGTACCGGTTCCTTTTTATTTCCAGCGTTTTCTGTCCAATTTTGAAGAATCTCACCATAACACTGTTCTTCTCTTTTGCCTCTCAGCTGTTCCGCATACGTTCGCGTGTACAATCGAATTCGAACATTTACGTTGAACGAGGATGACCCGTACGAAGTGGAACTTTGTGGTTCGTATGCGGAAATCCCACAGGACCAATACTATTCCTCCTTTGAACGACTCATTTTGGCTGTGAAATTGCATTCAGACTCTGAGATTGGGGATTACGGTTTTCTTGGTCATTATTGGTTCGAACCGAGAGGTCTGTTCATTCGTCCTTTTGCCCGTGGGTGACACCATGTTATTGATGTGTTGAAAATCCGCTACATTTTAAATTACTTGTCGTATTTCCCTCCCAATGAAGTGATTTCCACGTTTTGCAATCCTAGGTAACTGATCACATTTTACATAGTTGTTTCCGTTAGCAGTTTTCTGTAAATTATATCGCGACCAATGTATGTGGTTTATAGTGCACATTTTGCCACAGCCTAGATAGCATTTTGCTAATCTGTCTATGAAATAGGTGATTCAAATGCACGGACTGTTTAACCCGGATATTATATTACTAGAAATCAGCACACTCTTGTATGTAACTTATTTTCTCCTTAACTACCCCGTCTGCCATCTATTTCTCTCACAAATGTAAATTACACTAACTATAACGCAGATTTTTCATTTTCGACCATAACCACCCACGTTTGTTTATTCGTCCAGATCAGTACACAATTACCGGGTTGACTATTCCGGGCACACAGTGCGATTGGTTTGCCCGGTCCAAATCGTCCACGTCCGGTAGCAGCGGAGAACCGGGTCGATCTGGGCGAATCCAAAGCCCAGACTACCCACAAAACTATCCGCCAGGATTGCACTGTCGATTCCATTTTATAGGTCAACCGCAAGAGCGTGTGATTCTCACGCTACGCGATGTGGAACTGGCCAACACGAATGAAAAGTATGCCTTTTTGCGGAGTTTTCCTGCACAACTTACCTATTTGCCACTGATGGAGTGGTCAGGATAATAGGCGTGTACACAGAGAAAAATAACTTTTAACATATGCTTGCCTTACATACTTCGATTAAAACAAATTCCAGAATAATGTATACCATGTTTACAAAATGTTTTCCCTTAGGGAAGTAACCTACATTGCTCCCCACACTAGGTCAAGTCTAATAGACTTGATGAAGTGCTTCTGTTAAACTCAAACACCGAAATAGTTAAAATTTGCAATATTACCAGATCTTGGAAAGGTTTCCATAAAAATGATGCGCTTTGTTAGTTTCTACCTAATGAATTTCGAACTCTCTGCAATCACAAACCTATAAAACTGTTAAAAAAATGACTGAAAATTCAATAGTTTATACCATGNGTTTTTCACTGTACCTGCATCAGTTTTCCTTCGGAAGCGATGGTGACGTTTCGGGCTTCGCCACCACTGCCACTTCAGTTACAAGTTCAAACTCCGCAGTCTCCAACCAACACACAATGATACTCAGATCTTTTCGTAGCCTCGGCCCATCCACAGTTGAGAAACTGATTGTATGGCACAGAAATCAAAAGTATTACATTTACCACTTTGAACCAGCTGATGAATCTATTAGAATTTCCAACAGACCCAAAATATGACTCATTTACGTTCCAAATGAAATGGTAATAGGGAACTCAAGACAACAATGAGTGGAGTTGACTGGATTGCATTTCACCCACTGTCATGTTTTCACGAATACAAATGAAATGAATATTGTTGGGTCTTATTTCCAGAAACTATTTTGATTAAACAATTTGTGAAAAATAGCACGTCACGGATTTGATAACTTGTCGCAGCTGCACTGCGAACAATTCAAGAAAATGAGTATCATTTGATCTTTAATACCTGACAATCCATGAGCTAGATCAAGGCTTTCTGTGTGATCATACTCCCCAGCGGGTACAGAACGTAACTGGGTAGCACATTTATTTTTGTATGTGAGCATTAACGTGAACAATAGTTAATCACGCTGGGAATGTTATTTTTTCCACCAGGGAATAAAACACCACATCAACTCCTCGATGAATTCTCAAATATTTTTCGTTGCTTAGCATCACAACAATTCCTTTAATTTGAATGCGCCTTCTAAATTGTCTCTTTAAATACGCAGTTGAGTATGTGCATGGAACATTTGTCTTACGAAATGCATCTAATTATTTTGATCGACTAGACACTTCTGGCAATATGTTGCCAAGTTCAGTTAACATTGAAGTTCATTTTGTACAGGGGTTCACTTCCATCAGGCGTGCTTCCCTCTTTATGCTCAACTTTCTAACAAGGCGTCCTACTACTACGGTGGGTGACTCATCAACACTAGGGCGCATGTGATATTCTTACTCGTTATTCAGTGTACTCTTGGTAGGTGTGTGGTCTTCGGTACATTCGTTGTACATTTATTTAGTTATCTGCTCTATCTTCCCTCTCTTTTCTCCTTTTTTTCAGCTGCACGCAACATCTGCACGGAGATTATATCTTGTTGCAAGAAGGAAAATTTGTCACTCAGACCCCGTATACTCAGAACACCACACCGCAGAACAGAACCGCACCGCTTCACCCAGGCAGGTATATTTGGCACTATTGTGGGAAACTGATGCAAGCTGAAATAGTGTCAGATGGTCCAAATATGTTACTAACTTTTGTCAGTAATCAAGATGGTCAACAGCGGCGCGGATTTTCTGCTTCCTACAGATTTGTACATCGTAACCAAGTTCGTCCGACGTCAGTCCATGACAGCAATCAATTCTTGCATATACCAGGACAAGAATACCAAATTATGGATTCCACTTTTGGTACTCGTGAGTATGCACCTATGTTTTAATTCGTTCTCTTCGATGCTCCTCAATCATGTTCAGATATTCTATTTCAAGGTAACTCAAATTATTATCTCTAATCCTATAATTTCAGTGAAAGTCATTCATCTTTTTATATGTTCCGTACGACTAGTTTTTCTGAAAAGTTTTTGAACGCCCCCTTGTAATTGGGATATTTTCAACAAAAATATTTTTGCTATCAAAATATGCTCAGATTTATTGGGATGAACGGATAACTAAATTCTTTGTTATTTGACAGTGAATAATGAAAAGTTACAATGAATTCATTTTTATTTAGTCAGTTTTTTTTTCTGGTGCGACCGCAATGAACAGTGACTCGAATAGCGCTTGCATGTAAATACTATTGCCCAAACTGGAACAAAGTGATGAAAAAAAAGAAGCACATACTACCTTTTTGATAAACTATTAGTTTCGCTAGTGGATTCGCTTAATTGCATGCCCTTCAGGCATTCACAAAGAATGATCATCAAGTTACATGACACGTTTTTAGTGTGAAATAAAAAAAGCTTGGTTTTTGTTGTTTTTCTTCTCAACTGACGTACTCGCAATAGTAACTGAAAATGGCATGAGAAATTAAAAAGAGAACAAGACCAAAATAGATTACCATAGAGAGTATTTTCTTCGTAACCTGGCTACTCAAGATTCGTGCAAATGGTAACTATTTAGTACCCGCGTCGAAACTACGCAAGCTTAAAATTTAAAAGCGCTAGATGACCTGTCAAATGGGAAATAAAACGCCTTTGTCTGATCACAGTTGCCCGAGGTTACTGAAGCAGCTTTATAAAACTGTTCGAAATCAGCGTATCTGTACGTTTTATACGCTGTTTCCAAAGTACCAAAAATCACATCTTTTCACAAGCCTCAGTTGGAAGGACATTTACTACACCTATTCTGTGCCCACCGAGGACGTTCGAAACCGTTTAAATCCAAAGTAAAAGGGCATGGGGATAGAAATATAATCCACAACGTTGCTTGGAACCCCTTTTATCGTTACTAAAATGATCGACTGAACATCGCAATAACGTTTCAGCTAGATAGAAAAGTTGTTCGTTACACATTTTAAATGATTATCTTTTGCTTATGGTACCTAAATAAGTAGTTAGAGTAGATAGTATGGTGGAACAACATACTTCGTATTAAACGTACGCAGAATGCAGCTTCGTTTCAAAAGTTTTGTTTTGTTCTGTTTGGAAGTGACTTTCTCCTGACTTGGCAGGCTTACGGTATTTATGTACCGGGGTCAACAATCAATGTCGGCTGTTAACCGAAAGTTCCACTAATTCATTTATAAACCTCAGATTCAGAATGGACCGAATCTGGTTCCGTGAAACATTACAGTTGGCATGACGGTTTACTAACCGGAACTATCATGTCACCTAACTATCCGGACGTGTATCCGCAAAATATTGATCAATCCTATGTCATAATTGGACCTCCACAAGGACAAATTCAACTGTTGTTCAGCGCGTTCCATCTCGATCTCCAAAACCCTTCAAAGTATGTTTGATATACGTGAACTACGCTTTGAATGGAATTTTCATAATTATGTGTAAACTTTTATCTAAATGTTTTGTACAGAAACGACGAAATACAGCAAGCTTTACTTCAGTGATAATTTTCATGTGTAATCTTGTCACGCTCAAAAACTAACCACCATGAAATACAATTATTTACTCCCATTGATCTCCGTCACGATAAATATCTATCCATTACTTTCTGGTCCCAACTGTCCTATGGAATAAAGTAAGCAAGAAAATTAACAATTATGGAAAATATTTTCGAGTAACAGGTGATTGACTATTTAACTAATATGTTATTTAATTCGGTATTAAATCTATATACAAGGAAGCCGGTATTTTATCATTATTTTTGTTATTATTATGTTATATATCTCTTAAAGAATTATAAGTGGAGTGAGTTTCATCGGGTAGGAACACGATTGATTATTCGATATTCCAGTTTCACTCAACACTTGCACACCAGAAAAAAATCTGCGTATTGAATGAACTAGAGCAAAACCAAAAACTCTGAACGTTTTCATTATCAGTCAATTCAATTTGAAGTCAACTCAGGGAGTTGAATCACACGAGAACCGTAGGTTTCCCACAAAATTAATCATCCGACAGCCGATGTGGTTAATTTATCTGGCTAATAAGTAAATTGGCGCACTCCCCGAAATTGCCTTGACCAGTGTCTTTGTGTTTCCACAAACAAAAATCTATCTGGGTAGGTCTGGTTACATTTCCAGCACAAAAATGATTTTCCAGGTATACATTTTTTTAATTTGAGAAACATCATTCGTTGTTACGCAATAAGCTACTGACGAGACCACTTAACATTTTTCAATTTCACCAAAATGTGTTTCACGGTTATCGGTATTTCCGTTCAACAGCGGATACTGTTCGGGTTAGCTGAAATCAATATGGATGATCTGACATCATTGGGTCGATTATTTTTAGTCACCACCATGGCACGTGATTCAAATTACGAAATATTTCTCACCACATACGGTGCCACTTTCAATAATTAGTTTACTTTTAACTGCAATGTACAAAACTCAAAAGTTAATCACAGTTTCACTGTACAGTTGATCAAAATTCTAGTTGCATTATTTGTATGCCTTATCTCACAGAGAAGCTATTATCATAGAGGACAGTAAAATTTAAAAGCATCCTTGATAGAATCTGTTTCATGAGCCTCAAGTACACATACATCCTGTTTGCTAGGCTTAATTCATAGTCGAATACCTTGAATATTCTGAAATGGATCAAAATTAAATATTAGTAATGTGTTCTCTTTACATTCTTCTTTGTGTATTCTTACTACAACACCTTTTACCATCAAGCTTTAGTCGAAACCCGAAATGCTTTAGCCTCTACCCGCAATCCTTTAGCCTTCACCTACATTCCTTTAGCCTGGAAAAAGATGTAGAAAGCGATCATAAAGGCAATTTCGCAGTCAATTGACAAATGTCTATCATATATAAACTTTACAATAACCCTACAAAAAATACCCCTGAGCAATTTATGCGAATGTCGATATATGGTTTAAATTTTACTGCATCTTGTGCATCGCATTTACATACAATAAGTAACGTTTCCTCCAAATCTAGTTTGTCTGACTGTTTATGAATACACGAATTATTTTTCTTATGGAGGAAAACTGTACCTCGGAGAGCATTGGCGATTGCGAACTCTTTGTGCTTTTTCGTTCTTATTTTGACAACGACAGAAATTCTGATTCTTCATTAGATCGAGCATACCAACAATAACTTTGTGGGAATCAGGCTGTTTGTTTAGCAAACTCCCTTTTATTGTAACTCCTAACCAACTTTTTACATAGCAATGCACTGGTCTATAATACCCCATTTAATAGTTTGCATCTCTATAGCAAATAAAATCCTTGGAATTTTGTCACTGCACTGCACTTAAATTTAAAACCAAAAACATTTTCATTNATTTTCATTCGAATAGATCAAGTGTCAGTGAATTCTCACAAGGAGATATTTTGTGTATCCCCCCGCCGTCCTCTTCCGATAAGAATTAACTCAGCATCCTAGAAAAATTTGATTTTACATATGTTTTATTCCAAGTAGACATAAATTGTCACCACAGAATATCCATTCCAAGACACGGCAAGAACACACAGTGGAGGGATAAAGCTGGTGGATTTAGGTTGGCTCACGGGCACCATGTCCCATAAATTATCTTCTCTAAGGCCCAGGCTTTCTGTGAGATTGTTGATTTCTATCTGATTAATGCACTTCGTTAGCTATCAAACTCTTTATGATACCCGGCAAAGTCATCTGTTAAGTCATTCTATGGTCAATATACACTACTGACCGATTGTGATGCACTAAAATATTTTCCTTCTGACTAAATTCAGTTTCATTACATTTATCACTTATGTTAATGCTTTCGGTGTATACTATAATTTATCCCTTGTTTACATCCATCTACGTAGTTTCCAGACTGCCCCGCAGATAATTAAATGTGCGTAACCTTGTTTGTTGTAATTAAAAGTTGTTTTATTCTCTTTAGCTAGTTCTTAACTCATCATGGTCTACGTCAACGACTACTGAAGAAATGGGAGTATCCTATGAATTCTGAGCTATTCCATCTGCTGAGTGTAGACAAATTACAAAAATCACTGCCCTAAAGACTCATCAAGGCTTGTTTATTTTTATTTGGGAAAAATTTCACTTCGGTATAAATGCTGTTGCCCGTACGAACCCTTAAGTGTTTCACAGGGACCCATTGCTTTAGTTTCGTTTAGATCTGTATATGCTATTTTGCGTCCTCGTTGAAACATGAGAGTTCAGATAATGAACCAAAGCCCCCACACTGGAACATATTATTTTCCAGACCAACTTAACGTTTATCATAAGTCAACTATTCCTCTTGCTTCTTACCATGTGAGTCTTGAGATTTTAGCTAAGAGCGAAAGTGGTCGATCAACCCAAGTCGGCAATCGAGCAGTCATACCATATAAGCATCAATCTAATTGTCCATTTATTGTTTTCCTAACTTTGATATGACTCGAAATATTGTTTATTGACCCACTGTTTGTCAATTACTTGGATGAAATCACACAAAATCTTCATAGACTAACAGCTTAAGAAATCTACCACTGGTTCCTACCAAAGAATTCATTTTTTGGCATACCCATGGATACACGTTCAGTTTTACATCGTAAAAGCATAATTTTTGTCAGCTTACCCTGACAAATTGGTAACGCACGATGGTCTCGGAACTAACGTAAAAGACCCTGAAGCATCAGCAAAATAAATCATCTCACTGAAATGATTAAACCAGCGAGTTATTATTAGTAATTAAAGTGAATAGACTGATATAACATTTACAGGTGCTACCCAATTCGACTGATAAGGTGTTCTCATCAGCAGAGCGTCATGTGTCGTTCACTTACAAGTCGTTTTCATATTTGTGATTGAAGGATAAATTGGTCGAGCCTGCCCTCTCATTCCGCGTGCACTTTTTTACTTGTGTATGAGACAGACTGCATACGCCGTGTGATCGTGAGATTGTCTAACCGAATCCGTGACTTCCACCCGGCGTGGCTGAACACCAGAGAGATTCAGTCACTCACCAGTTCAGTGAAGTTAACCTAGATGGAATTAATTGCACTACGAATATAACCGATGTGTTTCACGCACTAAACACGGTTCGTGGTCGACCGTAGTGCCTGATTCTCTTTCATTTGCTGTACACCAACACAATTAGTATGATCTCGTCTGACTAACCCATTATTTGTGACTGAAAAGCAATTAGTTAAAGCGTTCAAGCTTCTCCGGTCAAATATCACATTCCGTATATGATCAAGTGAATTTGCAAACAACTGTGGGATCATTTTAAATCCCAAACTTGGTCTCAAGATTATATCGAGCGCAGTAATCTGAATTTCTCCTTCCCCAAGACAACTTTATCCTTTATAAGTGACATGTTTTGTGATTTACTGTCATGAATAAAACCCAATGAAGACGATATGTTTTGTTTGAAGTGTGCTCCGCGGGGCTGTTCAGAAAATTATTCAACGAATACAAATTCATTTCAATGGCCGTGAAATGATGTTGGAACATCTAGTGTGGTTTACTAAATGATTTAAGTTTCGCTTTCTGAAAATGTCATTCGAATTTCAAGTGAAATTGTCATTTGAAGCCTTAACTGTTTCATTGCCATTTGAGGTGGCCAAACGTCAATAATGGTCTGTCGTGTATGTCTAAGGTCAATCGGACCAGTTCAACAAATGCACACCGTGGACGCTTGTTTTCACCTATCCTTTATTTGCTTAATCCTGTTAAGCTCTTTTGGCCCGAAAAGGTAAATTTATCCTCGTGTTTTTACAATGGTCAACCTGAGTGCTGACATATTATACATTCTGTTTGTTCCATTGTTCTTCTCGCGTCTGTCATCTCTGAAGAATGAGATATCACAGGGTGGGTTCTTTCCACCAGATCCGCTCGAAGTGCTCTGAATGCAGTACTTCCGTTGGAAAATCGCGAAATGCGTGACTCGTGCAAATAACAAGTTCACTTCAGTATACACACTCATATGAGACTTCATCCGCTGAATAGCTAGCCAATCATAATGTTCTGTCAAACATACGCACACAGGCACTCACAGAAATGGGCTGTTCCGGTTTTCTGTGAAATGCGAGTCCGTCGTGGTCTTGAAGATTCACTCCTCGAATCATCTCACACAATAAACGATTCATTCAGATATATCCGTGACAATGTGTCGACTTAAAAAGCTTATCCTTTGTCTTTAAAACAGGCAAAAAAATGGAGAAAAAATATGGGAACACAGACAAATACTGAAGAAATAGTTGAATTGTTCGTTTCTTTAACNTTCTTTAACCCTTGGTCGCCTCAGATCATATTCTTATTTATGCACGCCACCGCTCTCACACAATGATTACGGTTCAAGGAGTTAGTTGTCTCTCCGCGTAATATGATATACTCTGATCACATTTACTTCTGT